ACGTACCATAAAAAGAATATGTGAAACAAGATTTAATGTGCAAATGAAAATCAAATTGTGAAAAATCACTACAGTTGAAATTATATATACACATATACAAAGATAAAAATCTAAGATATGCAGTATAGATAGAGGATCACTAGAGGATTATAATAGTAAATATATGACCAATCCATATCAGTCTATAGTATATAAAAACAAGAGAACACATCACCATGAAATTAAAAATAGTAAAATTTCAACTTCCACTTTTAATTGTTCAGACAATAGTTATTAAAGCTTCAGACTAAAATAGAAAGAAATTACAGGCTAACAATCACTTGTATAGAAGTCAAAAGTGAATATTGAAGTTACTTTCAATATATTTATTGTAAAGAGCTCTCAATTTATAGAGAGTACTGCATTGTGGTAACTTTTTATAAATGCATTTTTCTTTCAACATAATATAAAATCATAATGATTTAATTGTAAGGAAATGAAAAAAAATCACCGTCAATAGAAAATTGTATTTTGATCTTATTTTCATGGTATAAAATCGATCGTATTGACATCTGCACACCGGTTTACTTCTTTTTCATACATACACCTATTTACATCCGATTTCAATAAACTTCAATAATGATGATTTTTGTCTGTTTCTTTTTCCCATTCTATTAATAAATAATGAAAGAACTTGCTAAAATAATCATAGCTAAACAAAGTAATTACTTTTTATTTAAATGGGGTAAAAAAATAAAGCAGTCAATGTCAAATCTTTTAACTAATGAAGTCGATGTTTGAAAAACCTTTCATACCAATAACGAGCATACAAAACATCAGGTATGATATGATCATTTAACGAAAAATTCAATGATAATAAAAAGTTTTGTGTCACTTTTGACCAATCATCAACAACAACTGATCTTGTTTTTACAAATAATGGATCAAGCCCCGATTGACGAACAATAGGTACAGCACCCATTAATAAAGCTTCCCATGTTCGATGACAATCAAGTCCATTACCCGGTGGTGATAAAACGAATTTTGCATTTCCTATTTGTTGTAGGTAAGTATCGAATGTAATCCGATTTTTTATTATTTGTGCATTTTCTATTTTTGATGCTTGTAAAAGAGCTTTTTCTCGTTCAACTCTATTTGTTTCGAGAGCAAAATTCATATAAAGTAAACTTGTTCGTTGAGACCAAGGTTTACGATAGTTTTCCGCTGCAAATGTTAATTTATTTAAATTTCCGTGTGTCCAACGAGTATTGGGCAATCCGATAGGAATAGGATATAATTTTTCATGATTTTCTACACTAGGATTAGATGCATACCAAATAAGTATTTTTGGATTTGATAAATATGTTTCATAGTTACTTGGCGCAGAGAAATCACTATTATGTGTAACAAGTACAAATGGGTTTTGTATAGAATTGAATGGTGAACCAAAAAAACTTGAAAACATATCAGCTTTTACAAAAACAATCTCTCCATATTTAACTAAATCCAATTTATCTTGCCTTGTTTCATCATAAATATAATCAGCAAATGCACGAAATGTATCACCACTGATATATGGATATGAAGAATTTCGAACTGAAGTTGCATGACGATAATATAAGGCGATCTCACTACTGATAAGTTTGTTTGTAGATGGAAAACTATACGATATAGTTTTATTTGTTAAATTACCAATATGCATTAATACAGTATGATGAAATGGAAATAGGGTTGCCGATAAACGAAAAAGAATATATAAAATACATATGAATATAAAAATATAAAAAATATTATTGTGTTTTCGAAATAAGAAATACGTCGGCGATTTGCTTGTCATAATAGTACTATTGACAGAAACAAATAAAACTGAATAATATTTATATACCCATTCTACAATAAGAACAAATCTTGTCTTTTCACATAATAAAATAGCATTTCATACAAAATAGACATAAGTAAATTAGGCGACTGATTACATACATCTAAATACAATCAGGAATATTAACATTGACTTTTAATTTTAGCTTGAACCAAAGAAATTCTTATGGATCTAAATGTATTTAGATTAAGAGTCACGTATGCGAAATGGAAATCAAATATTGATATACGTGCTACATTTCCTATGCAATTAATTACTACAATAAAGAAAGCTACAGACGATGCATAAGTGGTATTCGTATTTATTCGAAAATGGATTTGAGATCTGTTTTCACATTTTCATAATCTCGATTTTCTATACACGGATCTATCAATCACTTATTTTTTATGTATGAACTTTGATTGTTTACCTAGAAATTTTCTTTAATCAGAAAGAAAATACATACAATCTACTTACGGCAATCCAAAAATAATAGCCGTGACACTTAATCACCGTAAAGATAGTCTTAGGAAAGTTTTTTTTTCTATATGCAGAGATAGTAGAAACGCTACTCAATTTTTCTATGGTATTTGATCCTTATTCAACTAATATCATAATAATAAAAGTTCGATAAGACCTATGTTTCCTGTCATATATAACTGTAATACCGGTGTCGATTTAAAAAAGTGAGTGTAGATATTTTTTGAATAATCTGTGATAGAAAAAAGATAGGAAGCTGCGGTTTTCATCTTTCGAAAAAGACGACAAAAAGGCATCGAATCATTCATTATATGCTTTTTGTAACGTGATTTTTTTAAAGGTTTACAATCGATCTATTTGAAAACAAAACCTACCGCGTGAAGTATTCACAAAAAATTTTCAGTTGTTACGTCCCTATTCAAATCACCAATGAAAGATTTACAAAACTGCACGATTTTCAGGTGTTTAGAATTAATTATTTAAGAGTTATAGATTTTTAATCGAAGTTATGAGTGATTTCTCTAGCCATTTCTATGGAAAAACTTTTTTTTGTTTCCTTTTTGATAAAAAATCATTTTTTTCAACACGTGGAAAAGCGATTAAATAAGCTTAAGAAAAGATACTGGAAAAACATATAATACAAGACTCGGTGCATCTTTGCCTTCTCTTTTGAGCTACGAAGTCCGCAGTTATCTATCTCTTTTCTATCATAAGTTATTTAAAAGATATCTACACCGACTTTTTTTAATAGGCATCAGTATTGCAGTCATCTATGACAGGAAAAATAGGTCTTATCGAAGTTTTACTATTACGACATTAGCTGAATAAAAATTAAATATCATAGAAAATAGAGTATTGTTTCTACTATCTCTACATATTAAAAAAAAAATTCCCAAAGCTTACTTTATGGTGATAAAGTGTCACTACCATTAATTTTGGATTACCCTAAGTATAATATACTTTCATCAGCTTAAAATAATACCGGGTTGAGCATAATGAATAGCCTTGTTTTATATTTCATTTTTTCATTACTTAACTCATGTCATCAAAAAAGTGAAATATACCACCAGATACAGCGTGAAAAAATCAACAATCTACGAAATAAAGTTTATTTCAATTGTGTATTTTTCGTTTAAAAAAAAAGCAAAATTCTATGCGACCACGTTTCGACGCTGCGAAAAATGGTGACACATTTTTCGAAAAAAAAGTACACATTAAAATATACTTTATGGTGCAGATGGCAGAGCTTTTCACGCTGCATCTTATGGATATGTTCTGTTCGTTTGTGAGAGAACATATTGGGGGAGAAAAAAGATGAAACAAGAAAAAACGAATTCCTCGTGCATGTAGAAAGAAGTGATCGTTTCGCAGCGTCGAATTTTGTTTATTTTAAAAAGAAAAAGTACAAAGTTAAAATAAGTTTTACTATGTCACTTGTAGTGCTTCTCACGCTGCATCTTGTGGCATGTTCTGTTCTTTTTTAAGAGAATGTGTTGAGTGATAAAAAGATGAAATAAAGAAACAAAAGCAATTTCTCGTTTGTGTAAAAAACAAATGGTCTTTCGCATCGGTAAACATTAGTCATACAGGATTTTACTTTTTTTGAAAACAAAACGTACACAATTAAAATAAGCTTTTATCTGTAGATTGTAGAGGTTTTCATGTTGCATCTGGTTATATGCTTTTTTTTTTCTTTTAATAACATCAATTACTTGATGAAACAGTGAAATTCAAAGCGAGACTATTCATTAAATCTTACCTTTTAGTAGAACTATATTGCATGCAATCTTCTCAACATACAGGAAACGTTTTTCTCTTGTGCGTAAAAAATATAAAAATAGTAAAAAAAAAAATAAATACGTAAGGGAAAAAAATGTTTCAGAAAAAAAGTCTAATAAGGGAATTACGGTTTTTTTTTCTTATTATAAGGTAAAAGAATAAACTGATGGCAATCTTAGTGACCAAAAGAGCAACAATAATGTATTTTTTTCTATTTGATAACATTGGTGATAATTATCAGTTATTAATTATTTTATATAAATTAAACAAATATATCAAGAAAATTATATATTACTTTCATTGACACACATTCAAAATATTCCTATTTTTCATTTTTTCTAAATTACTGTTGCTTAGTATTACCATCCTGCATGTATTTATTAGATATTTACAAGTATATCACAAAGTATGAGAAAGGGAAAGCTAAGAAAGAAGACAAGTTGGAACGCAGCTAAATTATAAAAGTTTTAATAAGATCTTTTATTGATGACGATAAGTGTGAAGAAAAAAATAATAGTTCACGCATTTTTAATTGGTTGCTTTCTTTCTATTTATATTGCATGTCATCCAAGACACAGAATTTTTAAATTTTGGTTACACTTGCTTTAAAAGAGCGAGAAAACAGAAAACGAGAGTATTTATTGACGTTAATTACGAAATATTATTTCAAGTCAAATAAATAAAGCCTCCAACACATGAAAAAATTCGAGATCTTCTATTCTGTCTTATCATTAATTGGTCATATCAGTCGAATGAGTAACGAACAAG